TCATAGACTTTAAGGCTGATCTGAGACAAATAATTATAGCTTATCATACATGTTAAAGACAACAAAAGCATAACCACAAAGAAGGAAAGTTTTCTTAATGCTCAGGTTGCAAGAAACAACCTGATACTCTGAGAGTATGAATGGCATGCTGTTAGTCCAGATTTAATTTTCTTTCTATTTACATACATATTATGTTAACATTTGTTTGTGGCAAATTATAAAGAAATTCATCATTATGAAATATTTATCCTAAATAAATATGAAGGGAACAAAGAAGGCTATTTGCTCACATGTCAGCATATGTAGCTTTTAGTAAAATCTGGTTATTCAATATTAAAAACTAAATACAGTACTTACACCATGAAAGTATGTTAATTGATGGATTTAATCATGAAATGCAGGTGACATTTCAAACCTTTGAAAAATATCACAATTAAAGAAATGCACAAATAAATATACTTTTCACTGATTAGACTGGCAAGAATTAAAACACAAATGAACATTTAGCATAGTGTGGGGAAACAGATATTCTCAAAAACTGCTAATAAGAACTTTATGATACAATCTCATTGCAATTTTGCAATATATATCATAAATTAAAGGACATATACAGGGACCCAGCAACCCATTACTACAAATTACCATAGAGACATTCTCACACAATCCCAATGATATAGTCAAGAATATTTATTGCAGTATTGCTTATATAAGCAAAAAAAAAACACAAAAAAAACCCTGAGATTTACTCAAGTATCTAAACAGTTATATTATATGTAATGTATATATGAAAAAATGTCCAAGACCAAGATATATTGCTAAATGGAAAGAGAAAGATGCACAATATATACAAGCTATTTTTGATAACTTATGGGGAGCACAGTGCTGGGAGAGAAGAGAGTTTTACTTCTTATTTTTAAATATTTCTATACTATTTGCTCACACATATAAGGAATATGATTTTTATTTTAAAATACAATTTTGAAAATACTGAATGTTGTTTGGCAATATATTTGAAAACAGTCAAATGTACACTGTACAATGTCATCAACAGTGAAGAACAAATAATCTTATTAATTAAAAGGTGTATTTTTTCACATTACAACAATGGGAAGCACATCTACAGTGCTACTAACACAGAGAGGTTAATTTGGAAATTAAGAAAATTAAGCTAAAAAAAGACACACTTTTGTGAAGAACTTCAAATTCTTGGAGTTAGGAATTCTGCAAAATGGAAAAGCTTAGCAGCAGTTGACTAAAATATTCAAGCACAAAATGAAGAGGAAGAGTCTGAATTCAAATATACCTATCAGCCTCTGGGAGGGGAACGCACTAGTCTAAAATCTAATAAAGACACTAAGTCAAGCAATCACAAGATTAAATTTCTCTGAATACTCAAAATTTATCAACAAAAAAACTAAACACACTTAACATCCATGATGAAATAAAAGAAATAACTGGGGTCCTACATTCAATAAGAATCTGTGTCTAAGAAAACCTTTGTAAAGAGATAGAGCAACAGCATGAGATGGGGTCAACATCCAACTCTGTGTTCAACCTTTACAGCAGAAGCTGCAAAGAGGAAAAGCAACAAATTGATCCCAGTGGGAAAGAACCTCTCCTCGCTTTGGACTTGCTAGAAGGCAATCAAGCTTCAGGCATAAAAACTCCCCAGCTGACTACGATATCCAACCCAACTAGCCAAATTTCAAATATGGAAGAAAACTAGTGCGAAATGCTTTAAAGTTTTATAAAGTTTCATTTCTTAAGAAAATATAGAGGGGGATAAATGGTATGGAAGAAGACTTGACTTGGGGTGGTAAACACAATACAATATACAGATGATGTATTATAGAACTATAAACCTAAAACCCATGTAATTTTATTAACCAATGTCACACCAATAAAATTCAATAAAAAAGTAAAAAATATATATTATTTATGTATATTACAGATTTACAATGATAAAACAAACTTTTAAAAAATACTTTTCAGCAAACAGCAAGCTTCCTAAGCTATAGGAAACGAAAATGTTATCACAATTCCAGGCTATAATTCAATTTCTTCCTCCACTCCAACAGTTTTTACCCTGAGGAAAATGAGAAAAAGTTTTCTTTACTTCTTACAGAAGTGACCAATCTTCCTAATCTTCTACTTCTATTACTCTAACACATCTTTTTAAATTTTTAGAAAAATAAATATTACAAACTAGTACAAAAGAAATAAGTAGTATAAACACTATTAGTAACAAACACTCCAATTTCCATAACATGGATTAATGCCTTCATTTGGAAAGAGTAATCAAAATCAATAATGATTAGCTATTTTATACCAACTAGACTGAAAGAAGACAGGGGATATTTTATTTCTCTTTCCAAAATGTCTATAATGCTGCCTCTATATTGCTCATAGGCTCCTTCATACAACTCAACAGCAACTGAAGTGCTAAAGCCCACATCATATTCCAGCAAATATTCTGAATCTCTATTTGTCTGAGAGATAGCTTTTCATTGTTCTATGTTTAATAAACATTCATTAAGTACTGTGCTGAGATAAATAAAACATGGAAGGTATCTACCTTCAAAGAGCTCACAGTCTAATAAAGAAAACTATGGTGGTATGGCCAGATCTGGCTCAAAAAAAAAATGATGCTTGAGATGGGACTATTTCAGGAGATAAGCTGATGAGGAGGGAGGGACATTGACAACTGGGGATGCAAGTGGTTGGAGAAGACTGACAACATATACTTAGGACTAAAACTAAGAATATAAAGCATCATATTTTGTTTACTCAGATACTGCTAGGCATTCTGAAACAGCTACAGTGATAACATTGTATAGCATATTATAGAGCTTACATTTCATTGTGCAGGTGATGAGGAAAATGAACGGGAAAACTAGAGGAAGGAAAGCAGCTGCAGAATGTTGGCACTCGGAGAATCCAATAAACAAAATTATAGACAGTGCATAAAAAATTTGTAGTATTTTCATATAACAGAATATTACTCAACATTAAAAAATAATGAACTACTGATACAACAACATGGAGGAATCTCAAAAAGCATTATGTTGTATGAAAAATAGAAACAAGAGAATACAGAATGTATAATTTTATGTACACAAAATTCAAGGAAAACTAAGCTATGCTGATAGAATTCAGAATGATGCTTACCTCAGGGAGAAAGGATATTGGATTTGGAAGGGAAGAGCAAGAGGAACTTTCTGGGACAATAAAAATATTCTACATCTTGATCTGGATAGTGGTTATATATATAAACACATATATTTAAAAGTCATTCAGCTCTGTACCTTAAAGTTTCCACATTTTACCATACATACATTAGAACTTAATATAAAAAGAAAACTGCACATATAATTGGGGTGGGATAAAGTCAGAGTAAATTAAACCAGTATCATCCCTTGAGTAATACCTAACTTATAAGAAATCAAAATAAAGCTTCTAATAAACCCTGTATATTCAACTAGCAAACAAAATCCCTGTAAGACCTTAAGTACAGTAGCTTCTCTCCTTCAGGAAGATATGCAGGCAAATGTTCCTTATAATGCATGCTAGCAAAATAAAATGCTTTTCCTAAATAAAAAGAAATAGTGCCCTATTAACCAAAAAATAAATATTTTCTACACTGCAGTCACCTATCTCATAGGAGGTAATATAAAGATTAATAAGGCATAAGGAGCACTTAATACAATATACAGACAATAAATATTCTTCAAACTACCATTACTCTCATCCTATATAATAAACCCTAATATGCAAATTGACTGAACAGCAGAATGACTGGTCACTATGATGCTCACTGAACATAAGGGGGCAGATGCTCAACGCAGGAGCTGCCCCCTGGTGGTCAGTGCGCCAGAGCCGGGCTCACGGCTGGCTGGCACAGCGGCGGTGGTGGGAGCCTTTCCCGCCTCTGCGGAAGCACTAAGGATGTCTGACTGCCAGCTTTGGCCCACTCCTCATGGGGAGCAGGCCTAAGCTGTCAGTCGAACATCCCCTGAGGGCTCCCAGACTGCGAGAGGGTGCAGGCCAGGCTGAGCACCGGGTCTCTGGTTATTATATAATAGCAATAAAAGGGAAACTGCTTAAATTATGTCTAAACCACTTATTGAGAATACAATATTTAACTGCAAATTACTCAATTATAGCACTTCTCATACCAGGTGTGTTTTTTTAACTTTGAGATCAGCAAGTTTCTGACAACTGAACCATCTGGTTAGATTAGAGAAAGATCAAGTTATGTAATTTTATCAAAGTATTCTTATTTTATATCTTGAAACCATACACTTAACAATAGATAGTAAATGTCTATTTTTTAACATTTCAACAGTTTATATTATTAAAAAGCATTCTTTTTAATAATATAAGACAAAAAGTCTTATATAAGACAAAAAGTCTTATATTTACCAGACCAAAAGTACATGGCCAAAATTCAATTTTTTGAAAGTCAACAGCCTTAAAAAAAAATAAAAGCAAATCAGAATGCTGAATTTAAAAAACAGAGATACCCACAAGAAAATATTAAACCATTCATTTATAATTCTGAATATTATGTTAAAAAGTCACAATTTGGATAATTTAACCAATTTGTGGAAGTACTTTATTAACTTTATTAATGGAAATAAGAAAGTAAAGTTCACAAAAGCAAAGACTACTCAGGTACTATAATCCACAAGTGAAGCAACCTAATAAACCTTTTATTGAATCTGATTTTCTAACATGTTTTATAGTTATTAGAAACTGCACATCTAAGTTATAAAACTCAACATAGAAGAGGAAATTATTCAGTTCCACAATTTGATAACTGTATTTTTCTCCCACCAAATCAACTGGGTCAAGTGCATCAAAAAGTCAATTCTTTGTATTTCAGAATTTTATTAAAAAACTCATTGATTCTGGACTAGAAGGCACTTAAATTTTTTTTTTTTTTTGGTATTATTCCTAGTTTGGTATGTACTATTTTTAAAAAGTAGTCTTCTACTTACCTAGATTTTGTCTTATTAACATCTTGCTGCAGGAGCAATCTCATTCAAAATTAAATCAAACCTGAAAGAATACAGGTAAAACCATCATTTAGTTTTCCGCTCCAGATATGAATAATTATATCTATGACACACAATGCTTTTAAATTAAAAACTGCAAATCAAAATTTTTCTTGGTAAGACATCTATCTGAAAAATTGTTCAACTAAAACATGATTATTTTAACCTTCATGAAACTTGCTAAGTCCTATTATTTTTTTTAGAAAAATAATCTATTTAAATGAGAAATAGTTTCTAGTTCTCTTCAAAACATTTTACAAAATTTGTTGTAATAACTTTAATAGTATGTCAATAGCTATAATTAAAATCAGAATTTGTTCATAAAACATAATATCTAGATCAATGTTTGCCTAATGCTATTATGTACATATCAAAAAAATGCCAAATAGTTGAAGAAAAAAATACAGAATAAGATACATAAAAGTATATACTAATAGTAGCTATAATAATAGCTAACACTGATTAAGTACTTTAAAAATACCAGGAATCATTACAGAGAATAGCATATATTGATACCCTATTTCCTCAATTTAATCTTCAATCTAGTATAATGTAACCTTCACCCCAACACTCCACTGAAAATTTACTTGTAAAAAATCTACTTATCTCTAATTTTATCACATTCTATAAATTCTGAGGACTCAGTATGTCCTACCCTGAACTCTAAACATCTCTTTCCCCTGCCTCAAACAGGCTTGTAACTCTTCTGAATTCTTGTTCTCAAAAAACTGCACCAGCATACCTATTGCCATTTATACCTAGATTACTATAACTGTTCTATTTCCAGACTATCTTCTCAAATTCATCCTTTCCAGAACTATAAAAGTAATCTTTTTGCAATGTCTATATTGAAGATGTCATATCTATGCTTCAAGTTCTTCCATAGTACCATCAATGACTGCATCTCTATCTATCCCTAATTTTTACTCTCACTTTTACCCCATGCTTCTACTACACCAAATTCTTCAACTCTCAGAACAGCCTCATGCTCTCAGCTTTCATACCTTTTCACATGGTGAACTATGCCTACTTTATATCTCTTTAACTTCACTAATACCTTTTTACTAGTTTTTCAAATATTTAGCCCAGTCACCCTGACAGATCCTTCTTTAATTTCTCCAGCTATGTATAGCTGTGTTTCTAAACTGCTATAGCAACTGGTAGCAGTTCTGTATCAACCCTATCTGTTTACTTGTGTATTTTCTGAACTACAATGTGGACAAAAATTCATTTTTCTCATTTTAGCATTTTCACTGGATGAGCACATTATAAAAGCATAACAATGTAGACTGACTACAGAAATTCTGTGTTGTATCCTAAAATGTACATAGGAATATAGAAGAAAAACAAGTAAAATTCAGGCTGAGTTGAAGTCACATTTTCAAAGACCGGAGGGAAAAAATTCACATCACCTCTGGATCTAGTCATGTTACTTTAAGAAATAACTATGTATAAGTGAAAATATGATTGGCAAAAACCAGCCAAGTAAAATCTTTTATTGGGAAGGGATGAATTCTTTCCTAGAGCCTTCAGAGAGAGAATAATCCTGCTGACACCTTAATTTCTGTCCAGTGATACTGATTTCAAACTTCTGGCTTCCAGAACTATGGGAGACTAAGTTTCTGTTGTTTTAAGCCATCTATCTAGTCTGTGGTAATCTGTTAGACCAGTCATCAAAAACTAATATACTGAGTATGGTAGGTTCTCTAGGAAATAAATTAGAACCACAACATAAAAGTTGTTATGGACTTAATTGTGTCCCTATAAAATGCATATTGTGAAGCCCGAACACCCAATGTGACTGTATATTTGAAGACAGGGCCTTTAAGGACATAAATGAGGTTCAAATGAAATCGTAAGTGTGGACCCTAATCCAATAGGACTGATGAATATTGAGAAAAAATACTCAAAAAAATATCCTCAGCAAACCAAGTTCAACAGCACATTAAAAGAATTATACCATAATGATCAAGTTGGGTTTATTCCCAGAAGGCAAGATGGCTCAACAAATAAAAATCAATGAATGTAATACACCACATTAATAGAATGAACGACAGAAATCACAATAATCTCAACCGATGCTGAAAAAGCATGATAGAGACAATCAATAAACTAAGACTAGAAGGAAACTACCTCAACATAATCAAAGCCATATGTGAAAAACCCACAAATAACATCATACTTAATTGGTGAAAACAAACTAAGGCTGAAAACGTTTTCTCTAAGATCAAGAAGATGAGATGCCCACTTATACATATTACTTCTATTCAACACAGTACTTAAAGTACTAGCCAGAGCAAATAAATCAGAAAAATAAAAGGTATCCAAATTGGAAAGGAAGAAATAAAATTATCTGTTTGCAGATAACATGATCTTTTAGGTAGAAAATTCTACAGATTCTTAAAAACAACTGTTAAAATCAGTAAATGATTTCAGCAAAATTGCGGGATATAAAATCAGCATATGAAAATGAGTTGTTTCTATATACTAAAAATGATCAAATTGAAAAACTAAATAATGAAAAAAATCTCACTTAAAAAGCATAAAAAAATAATACTTGGGAACAGACTTAACCAAGGAGGCAAAAGACTTATACATGAAAAAAATTACAAAACATTACTAAAATAAATCAAAGATACAAATAAATGGAGAGACATCCCATGTTCATGAACTGAAAGACTTAACATTGTTAAAATGTCTATACTACCCAAAGTAATCTAAAGTTCAATGCAATCCCTACCAAAATCTTCGCACATCAAAGGAAACAATCAACAGAGGAAAAAGGCAATCTACAGAAGTGGAGAATAATTTTTGCAAATCATGTATTTGATGAGGTTAATATCCAAAATATAAAAAGAACATCTAACACTCAACATTAAAAAAAACTCAAAAAAATGGGTAAAGGATTTGACTAGACCCGTGGTTGGCAAACCGCGGCTGGCAAGCCACATGCGGCTCTTTGGCCCCTTGAGTGTGGCTCTTCCACAAAATACCACGTGCGGGTGTGCAAGTACAGTGTAATTGAAACTTCGTGGCCCATGCACAGAAGTCGGTATTTTGTGGAAGAGCCAGTATTTTGTGGAAGAGCCACACTCAAGGGGCCAAAGAGCCGCATGTGGCTTGTGAGCCGCGGTTTGCCGAGCCGCAGTTTGCCGACCACTGGACTAGACAAATATCCAAAATAGATATACAAATATCCAACAAGTATATGAAAAGATGTTCAACCTTCCTGATTATAAGAGAAACATAAATCAAAATCACAATGAGATATTATTTCACATCCAATAGGATGGCCACAATCCAAAGAACAGAAAATCACAGTGTCGACAAGGATGCAGAGAATTGGAATTCTTGTACATTGTTGGAGGAAATGTAAATAGTGCAGCCATTATCGTATGGAAGTTTCCCAAAAAATTAAAAATAGAATTACCATATGATCCTGCAATCCCAGTCTGGGTATGAATCCAAAAGAATTCAAAGTAGGGTCTCCAAGATATTTACACACCCAAGCTCACTGCAGCATTATTCACAATAGCCAAGAGATGGAAGCAACTTGACTGTCGATTGACAGGTGAATGGATAAAGAAAATGTGGTATATACATAAAATGGAATATTATGCACTGACCAGTGTGCTCAGTGGTTAGAGTGTCGGCCTGTACACCAAAGGGTCCTGGATTCAATTCCTGATCAAGGGCACGTGCCTGGGTTGCAGGTTCGATTTCCTGGGTTAAGTGCAGAAGGCAACCAGTTGATGTGTGTCTTTCACATCAATGTTTCTCTTTCTTTTTAAAAAAATTTTATGTATTTATTTTATTGTCTAAAGTTTTCCATATGTCTCCTTTTCTCTCAATTGACCCCCCCCCCCAGCCATTCCCACCCCGCCCCAGT